TTTCTATAAAGAATAATTCGTATTGTACGAAATCTAACAAATTACAAGTAGCGTACATTTTTTAATGAGTATTTAAATTGCAATAATATTACAACAGCAGATCTTCCGGAATGTCTAATTTAAATGGTTTAATCGTAAAAGAAACCGAAACACACTTTCCAATTCAATCCTCTTGTACAGACGTGCCAACTGGTATGAACATGTAAATTTATTCCCCGAATACTTAATTAACGTCACGAACGTAAATCTAGTGACCGGTGACAAGTAAAACGGGGTACTTGAAACACCCTTGGATTTCTAACGTTCGAGACCAATATTCAGCCGATAACATTAAAGAGAATATAAAAAATTCTATTTATTACAAGCAATTACAGTATGAATGTGTACACTTTATACTTATCACAAACTGTACACTTCATACAACATTGCTATATTTATAAACAATTGTTTTTAACTCGACACATCATAAAATTTAACTACAGAGATTGCAACAAAAATGTACCTTCAAATAATTATTGCTATGTATTTACAGCATGTAAAAAGCTCAATTAACACTAGTACGAATTTTCTAAGAATTCTTATTATTTATCCCCAAGTGTCTAATTGTCACAATTCATCACATTAGCCGAGGAATTTTAAACCAATTTTATACAGGACTGATTATGACAACCATTTTCCTCGATTATAATAAAAGATTTTCCACAATTATTAATAATACAACCTGTTTTATATCTATACTTATAATATAAATTAGTCTGAAACCAAAGAAAAAAATTCTCATTATTTTTTCATAATTAAATCATTTATACACCATTAACTTTTGTCTGCCAGCTTAAAAGGATTTACCGGATGACAAAGCATTAAAGCAAAATCTATATGCCAAAGGGTAGTTACACAGTAGGAGGCATGTTTACCGACGGACCGACATGATCTTGTCCGTAGCAAACAAACACTAGGGGGCCTTTCTGGAAAATACAGTCCCATTTAGGTTTTAGACACGTAGAAAAAAGTTTTTTTCTTGTGACTTTTTAGCTACCTTTTCTTTATCTTATAGTTAAAAAAAAACGTCGTTCGAAGGAGACCATTGCCTACTTTTCAGAATATTAATAATATAACATAACACATGTTTAGGTTAGCTATGACTTGAATTTGGTGTGGCATGGCACTTGGAACCAGTATCGACCGAGCATGACATTTGCAATATGATAAATAATAGCAGCAATACAAAAATATAATAGATAAAATATTTATCTTTGTAATGTTTATCCATAGATGACTTGGCATAAATATAATTGACTGTTAACTATAAACGACGTTACATCGATATAATTAAAAGTTTTATATATAATTACTACTTTATTTAACACCCAAGTAGTTTGAAAAATTTGGTGACAAAAATATTTCCAGGTGACGTCGGTAGATGGCGCGACGGTTCACTTTCAATCACGTGTAGTAGTATTCGCGTTTTTCATGAACTATAGAGAACGCTGTTTTTTACAAAACGGCTACTCTATCTGGGTCGTTTGTTAGTTGTCAATGTAAAATGAATTATATATTACTATCTGATATAAGGAAATATGCTACTTGTAGCAGTTCATCGAAAAATTTTATAGCAGGAGAACAAGTATTATTAGCAGGACACGTTATTTTATGTGGTATTATCGAGAAAAACGAACAAGATCGTTCTGTACATTTTTGTGCTCTTTGTCTGCAAACATCAGCATTGACTTCTATCCCACACAAAATTACTGGAATTTTAAAGTTTATCGACGTATCATATAAAATTGAATAGAATTACATTTTATTGAAGATAATCCTATAGTATAAGTTAAAAACGAATATAAATACTAAATTAGTTTATACTTAGACTCTATGCAATCTTTTTCAGTTTGATTTTTTAATACTATCGAATTACAATAATCTAAACATATTTATTAAAACATGATAGCATACATGACAAAATATAATCTTCAAGACTAAAATGTTTCGAACATACTACCATATATTTCGTAACTTTTTTGCCAATTCTTAGCAGTCGAATCCACTCTTTCCGTCGGTTACATTTCTGAGTTTCTCCGAATTCTGATTTACGAAAAATCATCTGTTTTTCATGTGGGAATGCATGAAAACTTATACAGGGATTGCGTATGGCTTTGGAATTACGATTTGGACACAACAGAAAGCTTTACTTTTACTTTTACTATTCATCTCTACTGTTGACAATATACGAAAAACATTCAAACGACCCAAGGTACGTTCGTAAAGTAGAACGAGTTAAACGAAAATGACATCATCGTTATTCTTATTTAGTTAGAATTTTCGAACGATTCGTTTATAACTAAATGGATGTATCTAAAATTGAAGATATGAATATTGTTAGTGCAGCCTTATCCGAAGTATTTTTCTTAGAATGCTTCGGGTGGACAGTTATTTCTATCATTTCACCTTTTAATTCAGTTTAAACACTCCAGTATATTTAGAAATATCGATATCGTCGGCCACCATTTTCTTAACGAAGTGAACTAACTTTTCCTTCGTGACCTTCGTTAAAGTTTCGTTCGAAACGTCACCACCGCAGAGCATGCGCACTGAGCGAGACTACTACTTTTAGAACGATTCGTTACTAACACGTTTAACTCGTTCGACTTTACGAACGTACCCCCAGATAGAGTAGTTTTGTTTTTAAACACCAGAGGGCGAGCATCCGGTGAAAAACGCGAATAGTACGTACTCACTGTTAGCGGTTACTTTTAAATCTGACTCGGAACGAAGATGCAGCTCGATCGTCAACTGCCGAAATATATTGATGTAGAAGGTGTAGGAGGTGTAGAAGGTGAGTTTTGAATATAAATTATTGTAATTTAATTAAGTTGAAGAATAAATTATTAAAATAGAATAAATAAATAAATAGAAAATGAGTAGAACGAGAGAATTGTGGCATGTTACGTGTTAAAGTACCTTCTAGTTATATTACGTTTGATAAACTTTTCGGAAGTTTTTAGACCTAAATGAAGGATTTATGTTGTATAATATAGGCAAAAATAATTGTAAAATTATAATTTTTTTACTTGGAAACAGATTTTATTGTCATTAAGTGTGTGAATAATTTATAAAATTTTTTTTGATAATACAAAATATCAATTGTAATTATGTTATATATAATTTTACCGAATATTGAAATCTTAAATATGTTCTAATTATGAATAATAAAAGTTTTTATAAATGTAAAAAGGGTATTTTTAAGATCAAAATGGCGGATTTCACTAGTCTACACGTGTTAGACGACGACCACGTGAATTATAAAAGTTTGTATTCCATATCGGGCACTTGTGCTATTTGAGAGGTTTTCTTCCATAAAATTAATCAAATCTAGACTAATTTTACTCGAATATTTCCAAAACACGTATAATTTGATGGAAATGATCGATATAAAATATACTATGAACAAAATATTGTCGGAATACTTATCGAGTGTACCCGTTTGAAGACACCACTGTTTAGCTTGTTTTCGTCGCGGAGCGTCACATCGGACGGCGTACGCGTACGAAGCGTGTCACGTGACATTTGTTGTCTGTGCTATTCGGTCACGTGACTACTCATCTCTGACGTGTTCCTGATAGCTTATTCTTTTTCCGAAGAATTCGCTGAACTTTAGAGACCACGTGATAGCTCATAATATACTATAGATTTTTATTGTAATTAGAAACAACTTATTATTATTATTATTATTGACTATATGAAGCAACAATGGAAAAACCGCTCGCGAACAGCACAATTGCCCGATATCATTTGTATTAACAGTATCTTGTATTTACAGCCTATTAACAGAAAATATGTACCTATGTTTATAAATTTGAGAAGTTATTTATTCGTTAATCGTAAAACTAAACACAAAAGATTTGTCTAGAACAGCAGTTCTTAACCTTTTTATTGGTCAGCACCCTATTGAATCTGAAAATCGTTCTATTAAAACGAAGCTCTTTTTTTGAGAGTCACGCGTAAGTCATCAGATGCATTTAAGCAATTTCTGGCTTTTGTTTTTATGTGCAAAAGTGCTGTATTCAAAGTATGCAAACACGTCTCAACTAGTTTCTGTACTGCACGTGACAATGTGACTACATTTACTACATGTACCGACAGATGACAAGCGCTATGTTCTGAGAGACTGTAGAGTGTGTAGAAGTTGGTGTGTCGTGTTGCTGGGTACCACAGTTTATAGAGAACACAGTCGCCTTGATATTATTTTTTTTAATAATTTTTGAAATTTCTCTTTCACTCCAACCCCAGGTCAAGAATATCATCGTACAAGGATCATCCTTACCGTATGAATTCTCCAAAGAAATGAATGGTTCTGCCTGTTACCGGTTACTTCGAGTTAGCTATTGGGTGGAGGGGACTGATTAGTGTGTAAAAGAGACCGGTGACGTTTCTTCCCGGAAGGGACAAACCCGATCTTGTTGGAGGTTAAAAATAACTTTCACTTATGAAGGTTCATATATAGTTTAATATTAATTAAGGCGAAACATATTGAATCACATGGGTAACGTCTAGATGCAAGTACAAAAAGGAAAAAGTCCCCGCATGAAACTCGCTTTTACACCTCTTCCCTTTAATATAAAATTTTCCAAACTACTTGGCAACAGATCTTTACATCACCAAAGTAGGCAAGGTTTATAACACTGCACAAGCAACACTTCCCATTGTCAAATTTGGAAAATGATGGCTCAAGTGAAACCTTGGGTAACGTTCACATTTCATCAGGTGGCAGTACATCTTGCATTTATACTTATTTTAAAAACACTCCTCTACCTCCAAAATAAAGCTTTTCACCTGTAATAATGTTTGGGATCATCCATAAACTATGTAAAGTTATTTTTTACACTTTTTAACAGCCATCCTTCATCCATTACACTCCGTAAGCCATAGAACATTCTGTTATTTATTAGGTGTATAACGTCGAGTGCGTAAATGAAGATCGCTATTCAACAATTTATTGTTACCCAAGGATTATGCCACTAGCATAGTGACACTTTTTTAGATATTTTGCCCATTCCCACGCATTGCAACCATATACATCTGCAGTACTTTGTACACTAAGCCGTTACATAGTTATGATTTTATAACCATAAATCTGATCAAACTTTTCAAAATACGTCCATTTGATATCACTCTCTCTATTAATTTTTTGGCTTTTTTTTGTAGGTGATCAAGATAGTGATCAATTGTTTATCACTGAAGAAGAAGAAGGTAACCAATCAATTCATAAGTTTATTCATAGAAATTTTATGATTTTACGTGTTATTAATTACTACATATTATACTAATTTAGTAATTGAAATAGAAGAAGAGGAAACTATTTATGAGAGAGCACAGGATAATTCTCTTGAAACCAGGATGATAGATGTATTATTTCCAGTTATTGAAGACCCAAATACAGGTAAATTATTTCAATATCGAGCATTCCCGAATTAAAGCAAGTAGACGCAGTTGTTACGTTTAAATTATTATTATTATTATATAAGGTGATGCAAGAGAAAGTAGCCACAGTGTGTAGCTTAGCACAGTAAGAAGCACAGGAGCTAACTGTTGGTTTTAGAGACATATATATTGTAAATTATCACCTGTTTCATCTATACGCAGCTACGCATGTCGAATCGTGTTTAGTAAGACCCTGCGTAACTTAATGATCATGTATGGTGGCGATTGTATATGAATTTGTTTAAAAATTTTGATTTTTGATTTGACAACTCACACGAATTTACGAAATTTACGTGGAACATTGAATTAAGGGAAGTAATTCTGACGATCTTTAAAATTCTTAGAATAATGAGAAAATCTTAACTTTGAAACGGGCATAAAAAATTCTTAATTGAAAGAAACAAAGAATGGTGCATATACGAGATTATACCTGAATGCAAACTCTCTTTAATCTATTTAATATTGTAACAATAATAGATGAAGAAGATTGTGAAACAACAGAGGAAGAAGAAGAAGAAGAAATGGAAATGAACGACCAGAACACCGAATTGGCAGCAAAACTTCACATATCAATAGTCGGAAAATGTTATGTTTGTGAAGAAATAGGTCAAGTATACAGCAGCATATACTTATGTTACGAGTGTAAGTCAAAAGTGGAAGAACTGGTTGAAAAGGGGACAACAGTCTTTTGCCGTGTTGGATGTCCCAAAAATTGTTCTTCCTGTCTTCTTTCTATTGTTTTCCAATACTTGAACGTGGACGATATTTATAGTGAGTGTTTTTATTACTTAGAGATTGTCTTATTTCTTTTTAAAATTTATTTCTTCCATACCTAGCATATGAAAAAATCGAGTACAATTCGGAATTAATGAAAGAGTATGTGGATGGAGGATCTATAGACGAGGTATGTCCTCTCTTGAATTAGTATCGATTTATAACAGTAGATTCATGAACAGTTCTTGTCACAAAATGGAATTTTAATTCAATATCATGAATTATTCAATTGTATATTCTATTCAATGTGTGGAATCCACAAGATACGCGATAATACATGTCAATATACAAGAAACTAAATATTTTTATATGAAAAACAGTCCTTGGAAGAAAAAGGTGCCGATGCTCACTTTGCCAAATACTTGGATCGGTGTTGGGATCGATATGTTCAATGGATCTGGGAGCAGAAAGACATCTTTCAACTGAACATCGACCAAGTGGTAAGTGACCTTCAGATTTAACATCCTCTAAGACTACAAGGCTATGTTTTAAGGTTATGTTAGCATCCTCTCTGCCCATTAAGTCTTTTGGGGTTCACTTTCTCAAGTGTTTTATATGGACGGTATCTTCTGCAAATGTCTCTATTATGAGCCTGAAAAAAGACTTAATTGTTAACAGAAGTGCAAAAAATAAAAAAAATTTTTAAATGGAACTAAATTTTCCTCAATATATAGACGTTTTTACTGACCATGCAGTTAATTTATTTGCATTTTTACAATGCAAAGATGAGTGATTTATTTACATTTCTTCCAATTGTTAAACACAACAGCAGAATGTGAAGATGCAATTATTCTTTCATTGGTGACATAGTATGTTTAATTATGAATTGTTTTTGAGGTTGTCATTAAAAAAATTAGCATTCTTTCCCCACTTACGTATATTTGGGTGATTGAGTCGTTGTTTGTTTATACCTATTCTGGGCGGTTGGATTGAAGTACAATTACACTCAGAGGCGGACTAAGGCTAAAGCGGGCCCTAGGCAACATTGTAATTCCGGGCCTATTTTTAAAATTAAAAAATTAAAAACCTAATTTTTGGGGCCCCAAAAATTACGGGCCCTAGGCACGTGCCTAGGTTGCCTAGGCCTTAGTCCGCCCCTGATTACACTAAGATGAAACGAAGGATGAAATTTCAGGATCTACTCTCTAGAAAGAATTAGGATTCATACCACTTAAGATACTAAGTGAGTATATTGATGAATGGTCATCTGGGATAAACAGAAGGGGAAAAAAGAAAGATTTCAAAGCTCTTCTGCTTAAACGATTTTAAAGTTCTGTTGAACTGTTGAAGAAGGATTATTGAAAGCAACACTTGGCTAGATCTCTGAAGAACGATAGACACTTTGTAGTTAGTGCTGTAAGTCAAAGTTTGATTTTAGCGAAAGACTTAATGGGTTCAAGTTTAGTGTAGTATTTCACAATTGTAATTTAGGCCGGAGATTTATTATGATTCTAAACGAAGATTTGTTTTCGTTTCAGATCGTTCTTTTAAAAGCAAATGGCAACAAAGGAAGGTACCTGACAGCAATAGCCGATCAGGTAGGCAAAGGGCCAGCCTTCAAAGTGGACGGGGGATACATCAATCCAAATGACATAAAATCCTACAAGCATAGATGCTTGCTCATTATTATCCTGAATACAGCCACACAGATGTTCCATTTAAAATTTACATTTTACCATTTGTATCTCCTAAAGTTGGTTTGCCTCTTCAAGTTAGGTAAGTGCCCAGTCCTCATTATTCTCTCTTTGATGAAATATATTTCAATCTTGTCTTTTATCTCTAGACGAGACAGCAAGCGGAGCGTGTATCGCTCATACAGAAGCAACGATATTAGCTAAAGAATATTCGATCTTATTAAAGAAAATATGCGAAGTAGAAGAGCAAGTGGTAACAGTCGAAGAAGTTATGAGTTTGGTACAAACTCTTGACAAGCAACTGACCATCAGAGATGACAACAGTAAGACAGTGGAAAGACATATCGAGGTTTTATGTAAGTAGGATGACAATCGTTTCTCTTTTTTTTTGTTTTTTTCGAATCTAATGAAATACTTTAATTTTTAGTGGAGGAAAATCGAGGAAAGATCAGTTTTCAACCTCCAGTAAGTAACTTTTTCGATTTGTATATTATTCTATTAGAAAATTGTACTTAAAGCAGTTGATTGAAGACTATGAAAAGGGGGGAACAAGCTATTAACGAGGGCATCGTACTGTACGTTATGCAAAGAGCTTCAAAGTCAGATCAACGCCCCCACAAGGTGGCACTTGTTTCACTCGAAAATAACGAATGGGTTTTGGTCAACATATGAAGTTGCATGGGTCAATAGACAAATATTCTTCATTAGTTTCTTTTCGCGAATTTTGTTTTGGGATTAAGTAAAGGGAAATCGAAACGAAAATGGAGGCACGTGTCCCATTTTACGGGAGCCCCTCACTTCAACACATTTTTTATCTCCAGGGATTCAAATCCGAAACTAATTTTTCTGATGATTCTTCAAGAATTTCAAGATCATTCGTCATTCAGATTTATCAAATATACATATCGAATCGACTCAACTTACCAGTTGTGTTTTTTGCGATGTAACAATTTAAACTTTTTCGTAATCTCGGACTTTTCAAATTTATTCTGTCTAATGAAGTCTTTGTTGTAAATTTTCACTAATTTAACACGTGTTTTCTTATTTTAGCGCCCACTCGGAGACAAAGGTATTCCATACCGCTTCATAAATGAAGGCTTCGCTCAATGTCTGTTGAAAACAAGGAAGTACCTCTGGAGATTCTTTACTATGCATGATTCTGGAAGCTTGATTCAAGCCAATATAATCAAAGTGGTGCTGTTTATTCGCGCAATGAATGATATTCCAGAATCGTTGCCCTACGATGACGAAATCGCCTCAAAATTGAAGTATATGATTCAAAATATAAAAGACACTGCCTATCGAATGGGATTACATGAGGGAAACCCAATAGTACAAACTCAAGTGTTGTTGTTGATAAATCCAGGTGAGTAGAGAATTATTTTCGAGAAATTTCAATGTTGTCTAAATTGAAATCTCTGTCTTTAATGTTACAAATAGCACAAATATATTTTGCTTTCTAACGGAATTTGTAAAGAAAATGGTGAAACGTATCACTCTGTTAGATAGACTTTTTCAAATCCTTAATCTATCTTTAATCTATAAATTAGTAATAATTAAATAATCAACGAACAGACAGAAAATAAGCTTGTAGGAACTAATTTTTTAAAATACATCTCCAGCGAATTCTAGGAATTCCACAAAGATGACTCTTGCACAAATAATTTAAGGCATAATGGCGTTTGAGCTAGGGTTGTGCAAATTATTTCTCTTCTGACATCTTTGCAATGTTAGTTTTGTTTCACTATCGTAGTTCAGAACTTGGCAATTCCATTGTGTTTAAATATACTGACTACTGTTCTAACATCACTAAAGAACACAGAAGACATTTTGTCAGTTAGAACGGGTTCACAAATGGCCATCCCTTTTACATATATAGAAGGAATGGTGGAAAACTAGACTTGTTACATACACTAAACTTATAAAAGTTAAAGGAATAAGACTAGAATTACTGGAAATCCTATTATTTTAATATAGAAGTAAATAAAGATGTTTATAATTTTTTTAGAAATTGACAATAACGTACTGATAATGTTTCAGGATCAGGAGTCAAGATGCGTGATTGTTCGCAAATGTATTTGAGTAAAGTGTTCCTGTATAAATTGTCTAAAGTGACCAACATAAGCGTAGCTACTCTCGAATGCCTTATGCCGTCGTTCGATTTGCGGGGCTTTCTACAAAGCGATAGACTATGCTCACACTTTGTTACCTACGCTTCATTCATACAGAAGATCCTTCAGGCCGAAGCATACGTCACCCAAATCGGGTCTAAATATTTATTTGATCGTCAACTTCTGACCTCCGACTGGCACTGATTCTTTTTAATAATGGGACTCGATGGAAGATACAATGGTCGTGTATTGTTAGTCATTCTGTGGTCCTCAAAAACGAAAACTTAATCACGATTTAACTTGGATTTGTGAAAGGAAGACTTAAGTAATGCCTATTGTGTCGAGAACAGAGAAACTTCGACATGTGATAAATTTACTACTTCTTTAAACCGAATTT